CCAACACTAACACAATTAATGATTCAAATACAGTGTTAGATTTGTAACTTGAAAAGTGCTCTAGTTCAAGAAAGGAATATCCGTATCTATCACCGACTTATATTTTCTTCTTATACTGTACTTTATCCTCTTCGTCACTGATCAGCCTGTTAGCCACCTGGGTGGTTGACCATGTCTGTTACACACTGTTGGGATGCAGTACAGTACAGTACTGAACTGGGCATGCACTAGCTCCAAAATGTACTGTACAGTACCTAAACCTGTGCCAGTGTTTGTCAAGTTTGCTCATAATTGAACTTTATACAATAAATTCTCACATTGCTAGCTGCATTGTATTGAATAATATACAGTACATGTACTGTATACCTACTCCATGCTTTTTGTAGTTAGCTTTTTTTTAACGAGCATAATCAATTCTTGCAGGGTAAACAATGTAAATTATTTTGTAAATATTTCATAGTTAACTTCACATTTTCTCCATCCATCATCCTTTCCCTCCAGCCATCTACAGGTATAGCTGCCAGGAATCATACTAAATAAAGTATAATATTCATTCATTATCATTTACCACATATAATTTGAGCTTCATGGCACTTTTAATGATAACCAAGTCAGAGTCTGAAAACAAAACAGAGTGAATTGAAAGCCATAAAGACCTAAGTCCAACATAGATTAACTATCTTTAAAATATATTTTCAAAATAGAATTTGTCACAAAATTATTTTTCACATACAAGAATTGGGCATACAGTTATAATATGTATCCTTAACGCTGTACTGTACCAAATGATATACAGTTCATTAGTGATCTAGCTATGGTATAAAATGAGTCTCCTGACTGGTTTAGTTAGCTGCCAATGATTAGGTGTTGTCATGCCAACTAGTAAATCAGTAATCTGTTGAAATTCAATCTCATCACATACCCATACACATTGCTGAGCATAAATAACCGTTTTGAACAGATATAGAATGCAAACTCTTAAATTTGCTTTGGTATTGACAAAGACTTGCAGCAGAATCTGCAAATACAGCTGTAGTACTTCAATATTACTCATACTTAAATTCTTAAAATACAGTTGTACAGTTGTATGAAATATCATTTGTTTGGTTTTATGGCATTTAGAAACTTCACCATACCTTTTAAACACTTAACATAATTTGATAAATAACTGTAAGTAATAGTCTCCTTTCATCCTCCTTATTACTAAATCATGATCAAAGCCTTCAACAGAAGCAGAAAACTTCTGACAGTATATGGTGCTTATGGGATCACCCACAAGAAGTACTAATATAACACATAAAGCAATACTACTACACACAATTAAAGTGTAAGACAAACTACTCCATACCAGGACATTATTAAGGTAAACATCAGTTTGACAAACGTAATTGTAAAAATACTAGACAACATGAAGTCAATATTGATTGAGAGCATATGTTACCAGTAACACAAAGAGATAGCAGGAACTTTGTAGTTACTGTATTTGTGTTTACATTGGAACAAATCTTACATAGTTCACACGTAAAAGTGCGATCAACCAAAGGTGGATAGGAACAAATACAGAAATTTATCTAAGGCAATAATACCATTGAATCACTTCAACATAAAAAAATAGTGTAAACAATGCTGATGGAATGAAAGTATGAGGTTAAAACATGAAATACTGTTTACAAAATCACAATGGAGATGAAATTCTGTACTATGTATAATGATAACATATAAAAGGCTATGAATGATACATTAAAATGATCATAATGTAGCCATGTGTATGAAAATGATAATGGGTTATACTTATATACTGTAATGACTTATAATAACAGTACTATAATATACCTGTTATAATCATTTGGCATATAATGAAACTTGGTATAGTGTGTTCAGGTGAAAGTCCAGCTGAGGTATTTCTAGATATGTTTACAGCCTAAATGACTGTCACAGCATCTCACCCATATGATGACGACAGAAGAAAAAAAAGCCAAATTTTATTTACTTCAATGATCTGTGTTGGTGATTAGTGACAAGTGATTGATACAAAGGAGGGGAGCGAGCAGCGAGCAGCCCTTGCCATGAGTGGGCTGGGGGAGATTTTATTTTATTTTATTTATTTTTCAGTCAGTCAGTCTGGAAATGGGTACATAAAGCTGACTAATTTAAATATTATAGTGAATATTAACTTGTCTTCCTGACATATAGTGCCCTCAATACCAACAAATCATGAAGTATACATAATAAATATTAAATATGAAAGTATGAAAGTGATACTGTATTATGTTCTATATTCAACAATATAAATATCTGATAATGTTGTGTCACTAAACCCATGACCTAGGCTGTCTCCTGTGAGAAGTTAATGTTTTATGACAACCACCACATACAGTACTGTGTCATGAGTGCACCGCAGGCTTAGGCAACATGGTGGTGTATAATATGTACAGTACAGTACTGTAGCTACAAATACTGTACCTATATGATGATAAATTGTAAGATAGCTGATCAAGTACAGTTAGCATGATAAATGTTAGAGGAATTTCAATTTCTCTCATGGTTTTATGAATGAATAAACATGTACTTGTACTGTAATGAACTGATAGGTTACTTTTACAGAAGGTGAAATACAGTAAAAATTTTCTTGTTAGTTAATTATAAAAGAGGAAGATCTCTTTCTGTTCACTCATATTAGACCCTTATGCTGAAGTCACTTGAAGCAAATTGGTGAAGATAAAATTCCAGTTTTGCCAATTGTGTTCACACCAGTTAGTAAACAATATAAAGGAGGCCCATAAAATTAATCTGCAAAATATTTTTTGTAAATTTAAAATGTACTAGATTACTGTACATACAAACACTAATACTATACTGTACAGTATTTTGGAAGATAGTACAGTATTCATTACCAAATTTTAGTATTAAACAACAACTTTGTTGTATTAGCTCCTGATGCACCACAAGTTCTCAAGTGTATTGAATGTCATATCATTAACTTTCTGCAAAAGTTAATGATGACAAATTTATCAAAACTGACACTGAATTAAAAACAAATCTCATAAGACATAAAATAAACTTTACTCTTAAGAAAAATTATAAGGATTTAGAATTTGTGATGTAAATTCTTCATTTGGTGAGAGATTGAAAGTCAGAATTTTAAGTATACAGTAGTACCCCGATTTACGCGGTCAATTGAACCCATGGGGTACCGCGGAAAGTGAAAATCGCATAAAGTGAACAACAGAACATATGGGATTAATTCCAATAGAGACTGGCCCGACCCCCAAACTTCATTTTTCAGACACAATACCTACGTTGTAGTAAAAATTACATCTTAATTTTATGATGGTATGCACACACAATTAATAATTAAGAGAAATATCAATAATATTAGTTTTTTTAACACTTACATTAGTAGAAAAGATGGCTGGGCACACAGGGATGGGGGGTTGGTTCCGAGGCAGAAGGCAGATTATTGGCCCTCACCTGTATCAATTGTATCACTATCCACTTAGACCGGCTGTGGTGGGTGGCGGGTGAAGAACCCGGTAATGTTTTGATGACTGGGTGACCTTGTGCGCATCCTGCCCGCGCCGCTTCCCGCGTATATGAGTAGATGCACCGCGGAAAGTGAAAGTTCGGTTCTGGCGAGGCACCGCGTAAATGAGGAATCGCGGAAAGTGAAACCGCTTAAAGCGGGGTAATGCTTATATATATATATATATATATATATATATATATATATATATATATATATATATATATATATATATATATATATATATATATATATATATATATATATATATATATATATATATATATATATATATATATATATATATATATATATATATATATATATATATATATATATATATATATATATATATATATCTCTGGTTTTACCTATAAAATTGAGAATGCTATAGCAGCGCAACTCCTACAACAGTATTGGGTGAATCTGGGACTATTTAGCCTGGTGGCATGAATATTGTACATGGCCCACAACATGAGCGTCAGTAGCCATCTTGTCTCATTGTGTAGCCAGTGCACCACTGTTATTGTTGAAATTTCGTCTTTTGATGTGGAAATTCGTGTTATTTGTATAACTTTATTTTGTTATACAAGTATACAATTGTAACAATGGATAAGTCAGCGATGAAAGCTAATAACCCTTGAAAATAAGAAATTATAAAAACGTGAGAATGGAAGAAGCTTGCGAAACTTAGTGATGTATGGGATATTCGTCGACTATATGATTTTGAAGAATAAAGGAGTTAAAACTGTGCAAGTGGCTGAGAATCTTTAGACTTAGCAAAGCAAGGTGTAATGTGATTGAAGAGATGGAAAATTTACTCTTAGTGTGGATAAAGAAAAAAGTGGCAGGTGGTAACATTAGTGAAGCTATAATTTGTGAGAAGGCTAAACAATTGTTTGAGGACTTTAAGCCAAGACTCCCAGTGGAAGTGATAGTGCTGTGCCAGTGTTTAGGGGTACCTGCATGCTGAATAACACTAAAATGAATAAAGTCCGTATTTTTACATTTTCACAGAATTTTCAGTGTTCAGTGGTTGTATTTGGGGGCTCGGAACGGATTAATCCTATATGATGAATGCTATACTTGAACGAGGTTCTGGAACCAATTACGTTCGTTATAGCATACTACTATATATATATATATATATATATATATATATATATATTATATATATATATATATATATATATATATATATATATATATATATATATATATATATATATATATATATATATATATATATTTAGGAGCCACAGAGGAGCATGCAACCAATGGCTGAGCTGCCAGTGTGCCATTGACATTCACTCGGGTGAAATCTTTCCTAGAAACTCTCTGCTACCACCACCTGTCTACTCCATTACATATAAAGGTATAATAAAAATAAATTTCATTAAACATGTAAACATTAAACAAATCACTGGATTACTATCCGATACGGTACTACATCACTTTCTTCATTGTAGCTACTTACCAGTAGTGATATGTTATGATCACAAAGAGAGTATTAATGATATAAATTGTATGACATGCTACCCAAACATTATATGAGAGTAAGCAACAGGATATTTTTTGGGAAAAGTTTAAAATATCAAAATTTATAATGCTAAATAGATCAAGACTTGAATTAAGCTATGACATCTGTTTTGTTAAACTGTAGTTATACTGTGTCATCACTTTGTAATTGTTTTAGGGGAATTGCCTTGTCTGAAGACAGGTGAATGAATACAAGTACCCATTGCATATTCACTTGTAAATGTGAAGTTACTTAGAAGTCAAAATTACAATTGTGTAAAGACAGTGTTAAGGAAGACATAAATTATTCTTTAAATATACAGTACAATCAAAAGAATTAATAATTGTGTGAGAAAGTGTTACTGTTCCTCTACCTGAGGATATGACAGATGTTTTTCTTCTCGTTCACAATACACATACGACCAGATATGTGTATGGAACTCATTGGTGGTAAAAATATTTATAAAGTGAGCTTTACAACTTCCATCAAAAGAAGCTACGCTTGTATTAGGAAAGTGTAAAGGCAGTTCTGAAGTACAGGGTACTCCACAAGGAATATATCCAACTACAAGTACCATTAATTGTGGAATAGTAGATATTTTGTGGACATTTCTACATGCTGAGGCACAAAGTAGACCTTGTTTAGGATAGTACTACAAGAATTTGGAGATTCTCAGAGCAGATCTTTTTTAGATGCAGGTGAACACTTAATGGCTGCCATGGTGACCAGGCTAAACATGTTGTCATGCTAGGTTAATATTTACAGCCTCCTCCTCCTCCACCTGGCTGTCTCTCTCGCCTTCTGTGTCAGACTCTTCAGCATCAGTGTAGTTATAAAATGCTTGTAAGGTTTCCTCAAGCTCTTCCTCTTCCTTCTGACTGAGTCGCCTAATTGGTGGGCACAGTTTGATGTGCTTGATTGGTGGTTTGTAGAAGCTGTCTTTCAGGAGAGGCATAAAATCCCTTTGATCCATTGAGTTGATGGTCGAGGGAAGAGAGCTCGTTGGAGAGTTTATGTCATCTTGAAGAGAGCTGCTGCTACTTGTGGTACCTGCTGCAGCCACTTCATCTTCAATTGATTTAACAAGGGTGACTAAGTTCAACACTTCCCGAAGTGGAAGGGTAACTTCATTAGGCTGGCTGGGTACAATGTTTTCTGACTGGGGTGTTTCATCTGAAGTAAATACTTCCCCATCAAAGATACCAAACAAAGTTTTTGTAAATTCAAGTTTATGTGGAGACTGTGCAATTAATCTTCTGATACCTGGAACGGTGTCTGACCTGACAATTACACTGACATCCAGTAGTTGAGACAGAGTCAGGGACAAGTCAGCTTGTGAGTTGTCTGTGCCTGCCAAGAAAAGTTATAGTTACAGAAAATTTTACCAAAATATTTAGATCCAATATAGCTACAGTATACATGGTTTAAATTTTCAAGGCGGATCCAGGGGGGATCCTGGGGGGTCTGGACCCCCCTTTTCACCAGAAAAATCCAATACTTTTTCTTTAATACAGTATTGTACTCGGACATTTTTATATAGTAAAAAGTATTTACTATTGAATTCAGAATATCTCCTAATATCAAGTGTGCATGGCTTCAAAATGGCCTCAAAATGCCCATGATATTGATCAGATCTCAAAAGAATTTCTGGGGGTACTTACAGCGCCCCCCCAATACACCCAGCTGGGTGGGGTTACTGCACTCACCATATTCCCTCACCCTCAACTTCTGGAACCCCCCTTCACTTGATATTCCTGGATCTGCCCCTGATTTTTAAATGTTTCAGCATGGTGTGTGACCTAAGATAAGGCGTTGACTAATTCTGAATGTTGGACTATTTTACCGGCAGGTCCTCTAGGTGATTACTGTATGTTATACTATACTGTATACAGTATATGAAATATTTTGTCTTTGTTATAAGGCAACTGCTTCAGTAAAAAATCATATGCTTCAAGAAAAGAACATAATGTGTTTCAAGCAATCATATCAAGTTAAGAGCAAATATTGGAACAGAATACACTGTACAGTACTGTACTGTACTGTACTAGTATAAAGATATTGTACACTATTCATTATTGCAGAAGAATCAACTAACCAATGATAAAAGACTGTAAAGAAATGTTTGTAATATATGCTAAGAATACTTTCTTTTAACCATCAATATCTGTAATGAATTAAATTTAATATACAGTACTGTACTGTACTGTACTGTACTGTACTACACTGTACTGTACCTGTACTGTACTGTCTCCAGTCAGCATGTGTTTCTTTCACACAGCAGAAATTTATGTGCTGTAAAAGATAACTGTGATGGATATACAGTATGTATGCCATTGCAGTATGTTGGTATGGTGCTCATGTGCATGTTTTTGACTGATCTCAAGTGAACAAATTTATGTGTCTTGGATACATAAATCCCTTGGCCACAACAGGTCTACCCATCCCAGTGGGGGTTTGTTCCTTCAACAATAGAATCAAAGATCAGTTTTATAATAACTCACCCTGACATCCATAAATGAAGAAGAAATACAAATACTATACATTGATGTAAAAGTTAGTGGAGTACTGTACTGTATTCCTAAATGATAAAACAGCCAAAGCAGAGGATTAAAAAAAAAAAAAAAAAATTATATATATATATATATATATATATATATATATATATATATATATATATATATATATATATATATATATATATATATATATATATATATATATATATACAGTATATATATATATATAGGTATATATATATATATATATATATATATATATATATATATATATATATATATATATATATATATATATATATATATATATATATATATATATATATATTGTATATATACAGTATACTTGACTAGAGCATTTTTCACATAAGTGTAAAAACTCTATCTGACACAGTTTTTGATACCAAAGGCCAGTGCAATATGTACAATACATTATTAAAAAAGACTGACCTGCTTCAGCATCGGGCAAAAGGCTGGGCTTGCGGGACTTAGGTCGTGAGGGTCTAATGGCGTCAAGAGCATCAGCCACCTCAACCATGAGTGCCACCACCCCAGTGTCACTCTCTGTCTCATTCTTCTCCTGACCTGTACAAACCCTCTGGGATACCACCTGCAAGAGTACCGGTATCACATTATAATAATACTGTACAGTACGTGTTCTGTGTTAAACAGGCTGTAAATCACTTAAAAAACACCAAAATTCTTTCTCATTATTTTTTTTATCTTTGTGCTTTTAATTCATTCACAGCCTAAATACATTCTCATAAATCTCCACAGCCATAAAGATGAGAACTATATACAATAGAGTCTGCATTTACGCGGCTTTTGTTTATGCGTTTGGTCATTTACGCGGTGCCTTGCCAGAATGAAATGCTTTAATTACGCGGTAAATTTGCTCATTTACGTGGGAAGTGGCGCGGGCAGGGTGCGCACAAGGTCACCCAGTCATCAAAACATTACCGAGTTCTTCACCCGCCACCCACCACAGCCAGCCCAAGTCAGTGATAGTGATAGTGAGGATATGGACTTTGAGGGGTTTGACAAAGAGACCCTGCAAGCCTCTGTGGTGGATAGTGATACAATTGATACAAGTGATACAGGTGAGTGCCAATAATCTGCCCTCTGCCTCGGAACCAACCTCCCATCCCCGTGTGCTCAGCCATCTTTTCTACTGACGTAAGTGTTAAAAAACCTAATATTATTGATATTTCTCTTAATTATTAATTGTGTGTGCATACCATCATAAAATTAAGATGTTATTTTGACTACAAGGTACGTATTGTGTCGGAAAAAGTGGAGTTTGGGGGTTGGCCCAGTCTCTATTTCAATTAATCCCATAATTGTTCTGTTATTTCATTTACGCGTTTCTCGTTTTACGCGGGCCTCCACGGGTTCAATTGCCCGCGTAAATGCAGACTCCACTGTATATATACAGTATATATTTATTTATTTATTTATTTTCATTACCACACAAAAGAGGGACTGATATATTGTAGTTCTGTATACAGTTGTACCCCACTTAACGCGGTCAATTGAACCCAGAGGGTCCCGCGTTAAGTGAAATCCGCGTTAAGTGAACAACAGAACATATGGGATTAATTCCAATAGAACCCAGCCCGACCCCCAAACTCCACTTTTTGACGACACATAACTATGTTGTAGTAAAAATTCTATCTTAACTTTATGATGGTATGAAAAAACAAGTAATATAGAAGAGGTTAGGTTAGGAAAGATAAAGGTTAACATAGGAAAAATAAAGAATAGGTTAAAAAACGAAAAATTTTGTGGAACACTTACGGTAGTAGAAGAGATGGGTCGGCATACGGGGATGGAGGCTGGTTCCGAGGCAGAGGGCAGATTACTGGCCCTCAGGTGAATCACCATTACTAGGTGAATCAACATCACTGTCACTTACAGTTGTCAGGGCTTCCCTGACAAATCCCTCAAAGTCAACTTCACTTTCACTATCACTGGCTTGGGCTGGCTGTGGTGGGTTGCGGGCGAAGAACTCGGTTATGCTTTGCTGACGGCTGGTGTTGATGTTGTCGTGATACACCTTGATGTACGGCTCCATAGCCTGCACCAGTCGGGTATGGAAGACTTCATAGCGTTCATCGTCATTGTCGCGGGAAAGGACGGACTTAATTTTTTCTGTAAACTCTATGGCACACTTAATATCACTATGACTTAAACTAGGTTCTTCGGAGAATGATTCACCTTCTTCCTCCTCTTCACTGGCGTGTTCTTCTTCCAACATCTCGTCGGCAGTCACTTCAGGATCTTTGATCACCTCCAGGATGTCTTCGTTGGTGGTCTCGGAGAAGCCTTCAGCTGTAATATTGAGCGCAGCTTCTCTGGCAAGGTCCACTGCTACTGCAACAGTCTGAACCTGACCAGTCACAGGTTCACTCCTCCTCTCACCTGGTATGCCATGCAACACATGTCTCCATGCGTGACGAATCGTAGCAATAGTCAGCAGATCCCATGCCTCCACCAAGAAGTCTACAGCTTGTTTAACGTTAAACTTCTTCCAAAATTGTTTGACGAGAAGTTCTTGAGTCACCGCCTCTTGTTCCTTGTCCTCGTCGCTTTTGCTCTCGCTGTCGGTGTCACCCAGCTTACGCAACTCATCCTTGGTGTTGGTAGAGTCGTTCAGGAGCTTGAACTTCTTTGCAGAGTACGCAGCTTTCACATTGCAGATCAACTCCTGGTCCATGGGCTGGATTAATGACATAGTGTTGGGAGGAAGGAAGACCACTTTTACGTTGGGGTGACGATCCATAAGTAGGGGCGAGTGTCCAGGTGCGTTGTCAAGGAGCAACAAAATATTGAATGGAACATTCTGTTGCTCGCAGAATTTCTGCACGTCAGGAACAAAACAGTTGTCAAACCAGAAGAGGGACAGAGAAGAGGACATCCACGCCTTACGTGCGGTTAGCCAGTGGACATTAAGCTTGTTCATGTCCATATTCTTGTAGGCGTGCGGCTTGCGGGCTTTGTGAATCACCGATAACTTTGGTTTACAGGTACCGGAGGCATTGGTGGTAAACAGGACGGTGATGCGTTCCTTCTGCAACTTCCGACCCCTTACCTTGCTAGCAGACTGGACAACGAAGGTCTTGGAAGGTAACTTTTTCCAGAAAAGACCAGATTCGTCCATGTTAAACACCTGGTCGTCACTGTACTGTCCTTCCTCCATAATCTCACGTAAAAACGGAGGAAAATCTCTAGCCGCCACACGGTCAGCACTCGCTTCCTCACCACCAATGTTGATGTTGGTGATCTTGTTCCTCTTCTTAAACCTATGCAGCCAACCAGAGGAAGCATTGAAGGGTTTGGGCTCTGCAATTCCCAGTTTACGTGTCACTGCTGCGTATAGCTCACGTGCGTACTCCTGCACTGAGCGCGTGTCCACCGCCATGTTGCGTCGCGCCTGACGCACCAAATAACTCACCAGCAAATTTTCCACTTTTGCCAGCACCCTGTTCTGGCAATACCTGATAGATGAAGCACCTGCAGACTTTGTGATTTTCATGTGCTCTTTGATCTTGGCTGCATCCTTCTTGATCGTACGAATCGTAGATTCGTTGACGCCATGCTGGCGCGCGAGATCAACTTGCCGTCTTCCTTTCTCCAAATCTTGAACAATTTGGTACTTCACCTCGTAGCTTAATGAACGTCGTGTCTTCTTTGGCTTAGTGCCGCTGGGTCCAGGTAAGGAAAGGTCTCTCTCTGGGGGCGATGGTGGTCCGGCGGAAGCCATTTTACGGAACAATGGATGCGCGTTAACACGGGGTGGCCTTGAGGGATGAAACTGCCGCGGCTAGGTCAAGCGTCGTCTCTCCTCCCTCCCTCCCTCCCCGGGGTGGTCACGTCATAATACTTTAAGCCAATTACAGCTAGCAGCAGAGGGGGGTAGGGATGCATGGCCAATCACAGTCCGATACGTCATATGACGTCAGTGATAACGCAACAAAGACACACTGCGCAACCTTACCGCGCGGCTTGCCCAAGCGGAGGGAGGAGGAGGGAGAGGCGAGGAGCACAGGCAGGCAGGCGGGCGGGTGGCGCGTGGGCAAAATCTAAAAATAGCATCTCGAGCCGGACACTCACCGCGTATATGTGGAAAAAATCCGTGTTAAGTGAAAGTTCAGCTCTGGCAAGGCACCGCGTATATGCGAAAACGTGCTAAGTGAAACCGCGTTAGGCGGGGTAATACTGTATACTGTACTGCATCTGTGTTGTACAGTGTATGGAAATATTAATTGGGGAAGAGAATGAATTAATTACTGTATATTTAAAGTACTGTAATACCAAGTGCTTATTCTGTATGGTTATTGTACACACAGAAGGCACTTATTCCTTGATAAAAGATTATCTAAGTACAGTATATAATGTAAAGTACAGTAATATGAAGCTTCAAGAGGGTCATAATAGCAATGGAGTTAAATAATACAGAATTTTTCTTAGTAATGTGAAAATTTTATGTGGAAATTATATTAAGCACTTTGAAGATAAAATATTGAACATGGGCATACAGTAAGCTTACTTACAGTACAGAACATCAAATCATCTTCAAACATATTGGACTGAGTATAGCAAGGAAAGATTCAAATGCAAAGTATAAAGTGTACCAAAATTTGGAAAGCATATACTGTTGCTACACATATATTTAAAGTAGGTTGGTTAGAGAGATGTATTGGGTTAAGTTGAAGAGAGATGCATTTGAGAGTTGAGTTGTAATGGAGGAATTTAATAGCCGGAAGGTGAGCGCAGTTTATGGTTGGTTGGGCTGAGCCTCAAGTAGGATGGGGAGAAAGTTTATTAATTTTAGTGTGAGATAAGATGACAGAGACTGAAGAATAAGATATGTCTAGACATTCCATCCACACAGATTGGAAAAGTTAAGGTTATGACTGGGCTGGATAATATAAAAAGTGAGAAATAAATAAACAAGATATATAAAAAAAAACACAACAAAATAAAAACTCTTAGAAACAACATATGACAGGAAAAGGTGAAGAGGGGGAGTTTTTAGTTAGGTGAAATTACATGACACAGAGAACACAGTAGCTGCCTGACTGGCTAGAAAGTTGACTAGGGGTGAAGAGGCAAAGTAAGTAAGTAAGCAAGGAAGCAAATATGGGGACAGAACCTTTAAGGGCAATTTAAAACCAGAATGGACTGAAGAGTTAATACATCACAGTTATTGATGTGTAAAATTTAGGTGCATCAACTAATAGGATAACTAAACACAGCACAAGTCTTAATAAGTCTTTAAGATGGTATAAAGTCACTCCATTCTTGAAGACTTAATATAAGGACAATGAGGACTAGGATGGGAAGAAAATTTTTTTAACATTGATGGGGTTTTGGTGAACAGTGAGATGGTTCTGGCGTAGAATGGGGATGAAAACCAGTGAAAGTATGATCCGGATATATTTAACATCAGGGTGTAAATACAGTAGAAGTAAAACACCGAAGGCTGAGAGTACTACTGTTTATTATGAAAAGAACCAGAGTCGTACAAACACTTGTACATTAATAAATTTAATTCTGTAGGATGAAGTTTATATATAAATTGATATCTCCGTTAGCCGGAATAATTGG